GGGCTTCTTCCCGGTCAGCAGTTGGTACGGCGTCGTCCCCGGCGGCAGCGCCGACCTCTCAAGGCAGTTGCGGACCCAGACGGCCTGCCGGAGAGCGAGGTGCCACCAGTGGTGCTGCACGCCCATGTGCAGCAGCATTGTCCGCACCGACTCCACCACCGTCCGCATCTCCCGCTCCGCCATGCCGTTCTGCTGCGGGGTGTATGGGCAGGTCAGGTCGTGGACGATCCCCTTGCCGTTCACGAAGTCGGTGAACTGCTTCCCGAGGAACTCCCCTCCCCGGTCAGAGCGCAGCATCAACACCGACTTCTTCGTCTGCCGCTCAGCCACCGCCAGCCACTGCACGAACACCGGCAACGCATCTGACTTCTTGGTGACCGGCTTCACCCAAACGTAGCGGCTCTTGCGGTCCTTCAGCAACAAGAAGTACAGGCTGCTATCCTTGGCAGCCACGCGGAATGGCCCACACAGGTCGATGTGCACGACGGCCAGCACCTCGTCGGCGTCGGAGCCTTGGTCGGGGAAGGTGTGTCGCGCCAGCATCCCGCCGACGCACGAGACACATGGGGAGTCGGCGGCCGTCGCCGACTTGAGGTCCAGCCCAATGGCGACCTCGTTCTTCGCCGAGCTTCGTATGGTGTCCATGCTAACATGTGCAAGCCGCGCATGCATCCGGTCCGGCGTCGACTTCGTTTTCGAGACGATCGCCCGCAGAGCCACAACCTCCGTCGTGGACGACGTCGACCTCGTTGAGCAGGGACGCAGGTCGGTGCAGAGGACACGCCCGGAGTACGTCGCCCGACCGAGCACCTCTCCCGTTGCCGAGACGAGCTGCATCCCGTCGCCGTCCTCTTGCAGCTTCACGCCGTGCTCCTTCAGCTGGCCGGACGACAGCAAGTTCGCCCGCACACCCGGGACGTACAGCACGTCGGGGATGAGCACCTGCTTCCCGGCCTCCCCTTGCAGAGCGATGGTGCCGCGGCCGTGTACTTCCTGCAGCGCCCCATTGAAGCCGCGCACATGCCTGATGGCGTCGCTCGGCTGCAGGTTGACGAAGGCTTCCTTCGTCCCCATCAGATGGTGGGAGCACCCGCTATCGAGCAGGACTACCGCCGGGTTCGCCTGCACAGCTGCCGCCACCGCCTAGAAGTCCTCTCCAGCCTCCGGCGCCAGAGAGACGGTCGGCTCCACGACGCCGACCAGCGAGCACGACGTCGTCTTGTCGTCCCGCGCCTTGCCACCAGCAGGGTATTTGGCGTCCTTCGCCGTAGTCGACGTCTTGGACGACTGCTTCTCCTTGCGCGGCCGGTTTCCGCCTCGACAAGGACGACGACTGCTCGACCTCCCGCGGCCGCCCTTGTCGTCGTCGTCGGAGTCACTACAGTCGGGACACTCGAAGGAGAGGTGATTGGGGTTGTGACAGATCCAGCACTCCCGACGTCGACCTCCTCCTCCTTGACCGCCGTCTTTGGTCGACTTCCAGCCACCGCTCCCGCCGCCACCAGGCTGTCCGCGCTACCCTGGTCGGCCTCCTTGCTTCGCCGAGGCAACAAAGTTGGCCTGCGCCAAGAGTTCCTGTGACCGCTCAGCCTCCTGCATCGCCTCGTCCTGCAGGATGTATGGGGTCAGGTTGTCCTCGTTGAGCGTCGCCCTTGTGCTCGGCGCCATGGACAGCCGCTTCAGGAGGTTATAGCTGCTAGAAAGTCCCTGCATGACATGGGTGATGTACGACGCCGTGGAGTACTGCGCGGCGGCCATCCTGATAGTGGCGAGAATTCGCCGGGCTCGGTTGCAGTAGTCAGTCGCTGTCTCCTCGTCACCCATACGCAGGTGCGTCAGCTGTCCCTCCAGCTGGGCGATGAACAGGTCGTCGGTGACCTGGTACGTCGACTCAATGAAGTGCCACGCCCGGTGGCCGGCGTCGATGTACTCCCGACACCACTTTAAGGCGATCTGCACGTCCGGCGAGCAGCACCGCGAGATGACCGTGAAGGTCAACAGCTGCACGGCGCGGAACTCCGCCCGCAAGTCGGGGTGGTGCTCTCCAGGCGTCGCCACGGTCCCTCGGGCGAAGCCGATCAGCCCAGCCATCTCCAGCTGGGGCTCGATAGCTTCCTTCCAGGTGAGAATGTCGGGTCGACCGACCAGTGGGGGGGTGACTGAGATCCTGTCCGGCGTGAACTTGAAGTAGCCGTAGCTCGGCGCAATCCCACCTGCCGTCACCTGGGACGCCGACATCGGCGACACCCCACTTCGTCGACCTCCGATGTCACCCTGCGAAGAGCCTGCAGTCGCCGACGACTGCATCCCTCGCGCCTGAACGCCGCCGACTTCACCGGCGTGTATCACACCTCTCTGCCTCGACGTGCCTCCAGCACTACTGCCGACTTGACCACCACCGGCGTTGACGCCCACGTCGACGCCGCCTTCGTTGTTCACCGGACGAGGAGAGGCAGGTCGAGACGGGTGTTCCGTCGCCCACGTGGAGCGGAGTCCAGCCTCAACGACCGCCCAGGGCAAGTCGCCATACTCGTTGGCCTCGTGCTTCCTCCTCGCGTTCTCCAACCGTGCCTCCAGGGTGTCTACCACCCCCGCGTCACCTACGGCTCCTACCATAGTGACTACCGCACAGTTGCCGGCCTGTAACTACGAAATAGGTAAGTGGTGTCTACGTCGACCTGACTGAAGGGTAAGTCGTGTGCCGTCCACGCTCACTGCACCATGCGGAGATAACTACTACAACGGGAGCTAGACTACTGGTTAGGCACGTGTGCTCGTGTGATCTTTGCGTTCGTTCGTTCGTTGGTCTCTGCGTGCGTTTTCTTAGTGCTCACACTGCTTGCTAGTTCACGGGGCAATTTGGCAAGAGTTTCACTAAGAAAAGATGACAGCAATGATACAATCAAGTTGGCATGGCAAGACTACATCAGAGCTAGCATTCAGGTTGGTCGACTGCCAGCACAGCATGGTCGACCGCGTTCCAGCACGACTTGGTCGACCGCGCTCCAACAGTGCAAAGTCGACAGCGTGCCAACGCTGCAGGTTGACGGCGTGCCAGTGTTGCTCCCGTAGAACAGCAGCGCACCTACTTTACAGGTGCTCGTTGATGATTGGAGGGCTAAGCCTTGTCACCTGAACAGCGCACGCACCAAGTCATCTTCGTGCTGACGGCTCCACCTGATCCGCCACGTCGACCTCGGGATACCACCACTGAGGTCGGACTCGCCAACGTTGCCTGGGCGACCGTCGCACTCCTTCGCAGAACCTCGTCACCCAGGTATCTTGGTCGATCGGGCAACTATGTCGACCAGCTGCTCCTGTATATGCTCGTCGACCTCCCAAGTCGACAACCACACCAAGTCGACCTCACCAGGTCGACCACTCCTCTAGTCGACCAGCTCCAGGTCGACGTCACTCCTGGTCGACCAGTGCAGTTGTCAGCCGACCACCCAAGTCGGCTACACAAAGTCGGCGTCACCAGGTCGACGTCGGCGCCGACTTCCAGACTGACCTCTTGAAGTCGGCGACCTCCAAAGTCGGCACCGACTTGCAAAGTCGGTGATTTTGCAAGTCGGTGACATAGCAAGTCGGTGACCTGGCAAGTCGGTGACCTGGCAAGACGGTGCCGACTTCCAGGTCGACGTGCCACATCGCCGACCACCAGTTGAAGTCGGCCGCCGGCTTCCCAAGTCGACGGCATTGCAGTGGCGCCGTGCAAGTCGACCACCCCCGTCGACCAGCTCGTCCAAGTCGGCGTCGCCCACTGCTGCAAGTCGGCTGTACCTTCCGTACACCCCACCACGAAGTCGGCTTCGCCTAAGCGTGGACGGGGCCAACACACAACTCCCGTTGACAGCCACCGACACCTCCACCCCCGCCACCACTCCCACCACCACCCCCACCCCCTCCACTGCCTCCACCACCACCTCCACCGCCCCCGCCAGCCCCTCGAGCGCCCTTGCCCCCCTTGCCCTTGCCAGTGCGGCGTCTCTCGCTTGGGGCAGACGCAGCGCCGACCGACTCGAAACCAACGAGGTCACCCGCATCAGCAGAGGCAACAGAGGGCAAGAGGGGGGAGGGGGAACACTCCTCAAAGACGGGGGTGCAAGGGTCACCACGAGAGGCTCCTACAGCGACTATGCTCTTCTCTGCTGCTAGGAGGCTCTTCTCCAGGAGGTCAACGGTGAGAGTGGTGGGGCAAACTGAGAGGAAGTGGTCCCTGACTACACGGAGAGAGTCAGGGAGCCGGGTGACTATGTAGTAGAGGGTGATGTACATTGGGGGGGGGGTTCTTGGCGCAGAACTCAGCAGGAAGCGCAGCGCGGTAGCGAGTTTCACTAGTGCGGAGGTGCGTAATAAGGTCAGCAAGTGTGGGGAAGGCAGCAAGGTCAGGGAAGAGGTACGATAGCATGAGGAGGCTCAGTGCAGCAGTGGCAGGGGAAGAGTAGCGTGCAACTACAGCGTCGTACAAGGTCTGATCACTCTTGTACTGCCTAAAGTGTGCATGCTCAGTGGTCGGTAAGTGGCGACGCACAGCAAGGCGAGCAGCAGCATCGCGTGTGGCCCACTGTGAGCGAACAGTGCTGTCAGCAGTAGCGGGCGGGGCAGGAGAGGCACCAGAGGTGAGATCGAACAGAGAGAGTCCGTTTGCCCTATGGCACTGGAGAAACAGCTGGAGGTAATAGACCCAGACCTCAAAGTCAACGGCACGGCCCTCAGCATCAAAAGTAAGGACACTGGGGGTAGCCATGACTTAAGTGGCCTAGGAGGGAGTGAGCTGACCAGTCCGAGGAAGGAGGGCCGGGGCGCACGGGTAGGAACAGCTGCGGCTCGATAGTATGGCGGCTCGGCGGCTCGGCGGCAGGGCGGCTCGGCTGCTGGGCGGCTTGGCTGCTCGGCGGCTCGCCTGCTGGGCGGCTCGGGTGCTCGGCAGGTGGGCGGCTCGGCTGTTGGGCTGCTCGGCGGCTCGGTCGCTGGGCGGCTGAGCGGCGACAGGGCCGCTAGGGGAGGGCGACGGGGCCGCAGGTGACGGCGATGGGGCTGCAGGTGGCGGCGACGAGGCCGCAGGTGGCGGCGGGGCCGCATGTGGCGGCTGCGTGGCCGTAGGTGGCGACGACGGGGCCGCAGGGGGCGGCGACGGGGCCGCAGGTGGCGGCGACAGGGCCGCAAGTGGCGGCGACGGGGCCGCAGGTGACGGCGACGGGGCCGTAGATGGCGGCGACGGGGCCGCAGGTGGCGGCGACGGGGCTGCAGGTGACGGCGACGGGGCCGCAGGTGGCGGCGACGGGGCCGTAGGTGGCGGCGACGGGGTCTCGGAGGGGCCGCAGAGGGGACGCAAGGGGCCTAGACGGGGCCGCAGAAGGGCCGCAAGGGGCCGAAACGGGGCGGCGTAAGGGGCCGGAAAGGGCACCGCGAGGGGCCGAAAGGGGGCCGCGCGAGGGCCGTAAGGGCGGCGTGAGGGGCCGTAAGGGGCCGTAAGGGCAGTGCGAGGGGCCGTAAGGGGCCGTAAGGGCGGCGCGAGGGGCCGTAGAGGGCGGCGCTAGGGGCAATAAGGGCGGCGCAAGGGGCCGTGAGAGGGGCCATTAAGGGCGGCGCGAAGGTAGGGAGGGCACAAAGAGCACAACTCGGGCAGGAGTGAAGCGCGCTCCGGGCAGGAAAAAAAAAATTGTGGTGGGCCCTAGGTAGCGTTCCCACTAGGGAACCTGCTCGATACCATGATAAGAAACGAGGAATGAATGCATTGAGCAGAATGAGGAGTACAAGTAGTAAACCCTAAAGTGTTGTACCCCATATGAACTACCTCACTACAGCCTACACAGACTATAGCATATATGCCTGACATCGCGACCCCTTTCTGCCGCTTCCCACCGCTGCTGCTCTCACACTTACCTGCCTCCTTGTCCGCGACCCTCTTCCCTGTCTCCTTGTCCGCGGCCCTCTTCACTGTCTCCTTGTCCGTGGCCTTCTTCCCGGCCTCCTTCTCCGCGGCCATCTTCCCTGCCTCCTTCTCTGCAAACTCCTTCCCACGCAGTCCATGAGGACTTGTTGCGGTGCTGCACGCTCGGAAAGCATCGCGATGATGATGTTGAGGGAGTTCGTGACGCCTCTAGTTGTGATCGCTTTCTCGGCGGTACTCACGATGTTGGATGACGCGCCGTCTATCTTCCGTGTGACCTCGTCCGTGAGCTTCTTCTGGGCTCTCTCCATGGAGTCCACAACCACCCCCTTCTTGCTCCCCGCGCAATCTTCCAACCGTACCGGAGCGCGTTTCAGCACCTCCCGCATGTCGTGATTCTCCGCCCTTTCCTTCGCGGCCAGCTTGGCTTCCCTTCGTATCACCCGGTATGTGTTCTGCACGTGGGTTAGCACCTTCTCCACCGTGGCCTTGAGTTCTTCGTACTTCTGCGTGATCACCACTGCAAATTCAGCACCGGGCACCGCGGACGCGACCTCATCCAGCTTGCGCATCTGATTTTTCAGCTGCTCGTTCAAATGGAGGATCTCCGCGGCCAGCTTCTCAAGAGCCATCTTCACCAGCTCCGAGTGTTTCCGCTTGCCCAAGACCGGACTCTTACCCGCAAACTCGCCCAACGGGGTCGCGCTGCCATGGGGGGGGGGACAGCACAACCTGAAGACCGCGAATACTCTTCCCTGCACCCGCGACCACCGACCGCCCGGAATTGTTGGCCGTGATTTCTGCCACCTCCTCCTCCTCTTCCTCATCAACTTCGTGGTCCTCTTCCTCCTCCATTTCTTTCGAACCCTCCAGCTCCAGATCACCGCGCTGGTGATCCTCCGCGGCATCCTCTTCGTCTTGACCGCGACCCTGACCCTCTGCCTCGTCTTGACCGCGACCCTGACCCTCTGCCTCGTCTGCCTCCTCTTCATTGTTGTCATCTCCACCCTGCGGCACGTTAACAGGGGCATCCTTGTCGCGGTCAGAGCTCGAGCCCTCTTCCTTGTTGTCCGGTTTCCCCTGGTCCCCCACCCCTGTGTTTGCGAGTGTAAGAGCTGTGTTGAGGGCGATGTTATCACGTCCGGACACGCGGGATCCAGCGGGGTGTTTTTGCGACCTCTCACGGTCATTGCCGTGAGCATCCCCCCTATGACCGTCCACGATGCCGCACTGGGATCTGAACGCGAGCTCTTTGGCGGCGCGTTTTGCATCCTGCCGCAATGTGTTCAGCGTCATGGCAATTGGCTTGGCGATGCGAGGAGCAGGGTCCTGTCCAACAACCGCGTCGAGGTCGTTGAGAACTCTGTCGGACGCCAACCCACATGCAAGTGGACCGCAAGGGGGCTTCCAGGAAGAAATATCCTGAAAGGAAACAGGGTGGACGGAATGTAGTGTTAAACGCGGCCAAATGAAATGCGACATATAAACCGCAAACATTAACAAACTCACCAGGTCCACGAGGCGCGTCGGCTCGCCCAGCTGCCCTGCCCGGACGCACTGGACAGAATCGCTCCCGTAGTAGAGGCAAACGTGACCGCGAAACCACCTGCATGGTTCAAAATACGTATCTCAGACACGGAGGTGTAATAGCAACCAAGCGTAAAAACAACACCTCTGCAACATACGTACTTGACAATATGGTCCACCGCGGCAAGATGCTCAGCTGCGGCAGTTGGGTGACAAACGCGGACAAAGCGGGTTTTCCAGGGTGAGGTTGCATCAAGCCCCAGGTGGTCCGGCCGCAATAGTAGCAACATGCCCGTGTTGGAGGCCTTCTTGTCACTCACTTCCCTGACATGATTACATGACACACGACGAAACGCATCAGCAATTACCGGCAAACCCGTTCGTAAAACAGAACCAGCCTACAACAAGTCCCGCTGTACTCAGTCGGACCAGAGGCAGAACGCGACTAGCTTACATCCAACCAAACCGTCAAACGCCACGTGCGCGGCCTCTCGACCAGCGACGATGTCCGCGACAACATTGGAGGGCACCACCTTAATTGCCTCCTTGAGCGACGGGGACACGCACTTCCGAACTACCACGCTGCACGGGAAACGGCTAAAATAGACACAGAATCATCGCGGTCGGGGTGTGGCGCTAAACGTGGAAACAACCCGAACGGGAATCAATGGTTTCGCGAGAGGAATCAAGGGGTCAATAGATGGATCGGCCGGATCTGTATGCAGACGAAAATGTCACGCTAATACGATTCACGCGACGGCGATGCAAGCATCTGTGGATGACCTAAACAAGCCTTAAGCCGACGAGATGCGACCCCAAAAAGGCGCCCTTAACAAGCCTGGCATCGCAAGGTAGACATACCATGCGAGAAAGTCAAAGGAGGTCGCGGTGAAAGGATGCTTATCTTCGGAGAAGCACTTCCTCTGCTCGGGGGGGAGCTCCATAGTGGCGCCCGCGATCGAGATCGTAGCAGTGTAAGTAGCGCCCTGCTCGCCACTGTTCAGCAGCGCCTTCAATTCGCGACCGGCCATAGCGGGGGCAGAACGCGTGTAATTACCTACAGCGCGGTCGGTGCGATAAGCCCTACGAGCGCCCTCTGCCTAAACGCGAACGCGATTGCAAACTCTACAGCACCGAAGATCGCTCGCACCGAGACGTAGGCGGAGAGAACTTAGCAGGTTGACAAGAAGGAGAGCAAAGTGAGAAAGGTAAAATGAGCCCGTGAAACAAGGTTTCACGGGCCTAATAGGGACGGGACGCATCCGGGGAGGGGGCAGCGCGAAAGAGCCCGCCCTGCAACGAGATGTGTGGCTGTCTGAGGGATGTGAGATGGAGGCGAGAAAGGGGAGCACAGCAACAGCAGAAGCACCAGCAGCAGCAGCAACAACTAGATCAACAGCACTAGCGGCAGCAGTAGACTTGGTTGCCCTTGGGGATTGTTGGCAATCCAAACTGTGTGAAATCACTCTCTCCCTCCCTCCCACCACTCCTCCCAACTCCCTCGCACCAACACCCAACAATCCAATCAACCCCCCCCGCAACACCCAATCTTCCCACCCCTCATCCACCCCATACACCACGCCCACCCCACCCACTCCACTTACCGCATCCGCCCCATCCACCCCACCCACCCCTCTGTTCCGTCATTTGGTGGCGAATCCATCTGTGTGCCGTGATGCCATAGCGCGGTTGCACCTCGGCCTGCAGGAGACTGGGGAAGATGCTCGCTTCGTCTTGCCTCCGCAGTCCCGGTTCCTCATTGTACGGAGCGAGGTTTCTCACTGATTGCATGGCACGGAGTTGCTATTGTCAAGAGATGAATATCGAATAAGCAGTTGGATTTTCCGCGTTCTTATGACCCCTTAAGTTTTTTTTTTTTTGGCTTGTCTGCTTACTCCACCTGCAGCACTGCCAACGCATTGGTTCCTCTGTCCTTCTTCTCTCCACCCTCCACCCTCCTCCCACCCACCCGCCCATTCCCATCCACTAGTCTAGTGCTTCTGAGCTGCAGCAACTTCTGCCGTCCCTGCTGCTGCCGGCCCCAACCCCATCAACACCATCAGTGTCACCCCCACCACCATCACCGCCACCACCACCACCATCACCGCCACCACCATCACCGCCGCAATCCCACAACTCACACCAGCCACATTCACAATCACGACCACACTTTCACTCCCACAACACTCAACCTGCATCACCCCTTCTGCGGAACCACCACCAGGAGAACATCCCCACCCATCACCACCCATCTGCACCACCCACACACACCCCCCACAACGGATACCACCTAATCCTCATAGATCCCCCGTGGGAGAACAAAAGTGTGGCACGAACCAAGTCGTATGCCACCCTCCCCAGTCGGCACCTCCTCTCCCTCCCTGTTCCTCGCCTCGCGTCGAGGGAACGTGGCGCAGTGATGGCACTGTGGGTGACCAACAGGGAGAGGCTGAGACAGTTCGTGGAAAGAGAACTGCTGCCCGTGTGGGGGGCGCGGCACGTGGCGACGTGGTATTGGCTGAAGGTGAGGGGTCGATCGTGAGGTCTGTGTGTGTGTGTATGCGCGCGCGCGTGCGTGTGCACGCGCACACAGATATTAATATCCGCCAATGTTATTGTCCATCATCGTTTTGACCTCATATGTAGCAGTCGTTACCCCATTCTCTCGCCCCCCCTTCTACATCCAGTGCTTCCTTAGCCGCCTTTTCTCTCCCTTTCGTCCCTCTTCCCTCCCTCCCCACTCCCCATCATCTCCCTCCCTCCAGCTCGCCACTCTCTCACCTCCCTCCCTCGTCTCCCCCCTCGCCTGCTCACACCACCGCCCATACGAAGTGCTACTGCTGGCTCTCATCCCTCCCAAGACCACGGATTCACAGCTGCTGTTTACCTCAAAGGCTGCTCTTCACCTTAACGCGCCGCAAAGGGAATGGCTAGAGCAACAAGAGTGTGGCAAGGTGGTGGGGGTAGACGGGAGGTTGGGGGAGGGGAACGGGAGGAGGGGAGCGGGGGAGGGGAGGAGGGGTGGAGAAGAGGGGAGATGGGAGGTGAGGAGGGATAGGAGAGAGAGGATGATGGGGGATGTGGCAGTGAGGATGGAAAGGGGTGTATTCCTCGTGCGGGGTGTATTCCTCGTCGCGTCCGCCAAAAAGTAGGGTTACGATCCCAAACTACCACTTTCTACACAAACGAAGAATACACTATACGCGTGCAGAAATGTAAATCCCATTAAAAAAAACGAGCATGGAGAACACAGCACTCTCGAATGTATGTAAATAAAAGAAACACAAAATGAGGGAGGGTTTTACAACTGGGGGAATTTTAAATTTATTGGAACTGTCATGTGAAATGTCTATCGCGTTTGTTATTTGCGAGTAATAAAATGAGTGTAACATCAGTACGTTGGGTGAACACTCTCCTAAACTGCAGATGATTTATGGGCGAACCCTGGCGACCCCTCGCACGCGCGAAGAGTATTTGGCGATGGGCTTCCGAAGCAAGGGTCCGGTACGGACCGTCACCAATTGGCCGGCGCGCACAGGCGACGCTTCGCACGGTCGGCCAGGCGTGCGAAGTGTTTCGCTAGGTTCATCCCGCCCCCAAGCCGATCGGAAACGGCTCCGATTGGCCGGACCCGCTTCGGCGCGCTCGGGGCCTGCGTGATTGGCTCGCGAGGGGTTTTGCGAGGGGATTTGCGAGCCAGGGCTGGGCTTCGGGGGACATCCGGGTGTGGTCCCGGGCCGCGTGGCGCTGGCGTGGAGGGGGCTCGGCGCGGGGCCAGCTGCCAGCTGACTCTGCCGCCCGGATCTCGCTAGGGACCTGGGACGGGGCGGGGGAATCTCTCTCGCGTGCGATTCCCAGCTAGGGGTCGCGACAGACCAGGCATCCGCGTGCGGCCCTGGTGGAAACCCGTTTCGGAGGTGTCGGTGGCTGTCAACGGGAGTTGTGTGTTGGCCCCGTCCACGCTTAGGCGGAGCCGACTTCGTGGTGGGGTGTACGGAAGGTACAGCCGACTTGCAGCAGTGGGCGACGCCGACTTGGACGAGCTGGTTGACGGGGGTGGTCGACTTGCACGGCGCCACTGCAATGCCGTCGACTTGGGAAGCCGGCGGCCGACTTCAACTGGTGGTCGGCGATGTGGCACGTCGACCTGGAAGTCGGCACCGACTTGCCAGGTCACCGACTTGCCAGGTCACCGACTTGCCAGGTCACCGACTTGCCAGGTCACCGACTTGCTATGTCACCGACTTGCAAGGTCACCGACTTTGCAAGTCGGCGCCGACTTGGGAGGTCGCCGACTTCAAGAGGTCAGTCTGGAAGTCGGCGCCGACGTCGACCTGGTGACGCCGACTTTGGGTAGCCGACTTGGGTGGTCGGCTGACAACTGCACTGGTCGACCAGGAGTGACGTCGAACTGGAGCTGGTCGACTAGAGGAGTGGTCGACCTGGTGAGGTCGACTTGGTATGGTTGTCGACTTGGGAGGTCGACGAGCATATACAGGAGCAGCTGGTCGACATAGTTGCCCGATCGACCAAGATACCTGGGTGACGAGGTTCTGCGAAGGAGTGCGACGGTCGCCCAGGCAACGTTGGCGAGTCCGACCTCAGTGGTGGTATCCCGAGGTCGACGTGGCGGATCAGGTGGAGCCGTCAGCACGAAGATGACTTGGTGCGTGCGCTGTTCAGGTGACAAGGCTTAGCCCTCCAATCATCAACGAGCACCTGTAAAGTAGGTGCGCTGCTGTTCTACGGGAGCAACACTGGCACGCCGTCAACCTGCAGCGTTGGCACGCTGTCGACTTTGCACTGTTGGAGCGCGGTCGACCAAGTCGTGCTGGAACGCGGTCGACCATGCTGTGCTGGCAGTCGACCAACCTGAATGCTAGCTCTGATGTAGTCTTGCCATGCCAACTTGATTGTATCATTGCTGTCATCTTTTCTTAGTGAAACTCTTGCCAAATTGCCCCGTGAACTAGCAAGCAGTGTGAGCACTAAGAAAACGCACGCAGAGACCAACGAACGAACGAACGCAAAGATCACACGAGCACACGTGCCTAACCAGTAGTCTAGCTCCCGTTGTAGTAGTTATCTCCGCATGGTGCAGTGAGCGTGGACGGCACACGACTTACCCTTCAGTCAGGTCGACGTAGACACCACTTACCTATTTCGTAGTTACAGGCCGGCAACTGTGCGGTAGTCACTATGGTAGGAGCCGTAGGTGACGCGGGGGTGGTAGACACCCTGGAGGCACGGTTGGAGAACGCGAGGAGGAAGCACGAGGCCAACGAGTATG